TGAGCTTTCTTAATATAGCCTTAGTAAGTGTCTCTGGGCTTCAGAGAGGACCTTTCTGCAGTCTACACCAGGCACTGGCCATGGGACAGCCCCATGGAACAGGTTCTCACTGGATCCAAACCAGGAGCTCTCAGTACATGTCCTAAGCTGCTTTTTCCACAGCCCCTGATGGATCAATGTGTTGTACGCAAACTGAAATGGTGCAAGGTGCTTTTTGGAAGAGCAAACTCATGCACCAGAGAAAGGGGAGGGAGTTCATGGGCTGTCAGCATTCCTCATCGGCTGCTGGGAATTCACATTTCAGCTGCTGGGAATTGCTGTGAGAAGCCCGAGTCCTTGGCCAGCTGGTTTTGGCAACTATGTCATCAGCAGGAATATATGAAGACTGCTGTTTTGGGGCAAGAATCACTCTGTGAAGCTCTCCCTAAAAAGGAACCAGGTAAGACTGGTCACTGTGTTCCCTTTCCTGAAGTCCTCTAGGGTGAGCTGAAGGTGTAGTTTCCTCACCAGTTTCAACTGATAAGGAGAAAAATACATATCTTCTTGATAATACTCTTTATTTCTTTAAAGAGGAATTGATCATTCCAAGATGTATAATTTTGAATCTTATTTAAATCTTCATAACTGAAATGTATAATGTATGATATTTCAGTAATGCATTAGGCTGATTATTATAGTCAATAATGGTGATTCTGAATGGTTATAGCAGTCGTCATTATTTTCAGAAGTTAATTGGAAACTGCAGCAAGAAATGGTGGTGGAAAAGTACTTTGAGGTTTTCATACCCGCACATTATAGAGGTGTTACGGAGAGAAGAGATTGACAGCTCCTTAGCTTTTTCTGTAAAGACTTTTTTAAGGACTTACTATTGGTTTGCAAGCTACAAAATTTACTATTGTTTGAATAATGAAAATTTCTGAGTGTTTATGACCCAGGGAAATTGGAAGGGCTTAAGTCATTGTCTCCACATATATGGAAGAAAATATGTTATAATTAAATAAAATAGACAATATAGTTATTAAAAGACAGAAGCAATGTACTATTCTGTCTATGGAAGTTAACTCCATCCCAGCCAAGTATAGTAATGTTGCTCATATAAAAGTGGGAAAAACTCTAAATGGAAGTTCTGATGATTTTGTACATGTAGGAGGGTTGCTTATAAGTTGTAACAGGTATCTAAGAAAAGCTCACTTATAAGACTTGGATGGAGTTTTAAGGAAATTAGTTGAACTTCTTACTTTTTGAAGAAGTTATAACAGGGTGTATGAGATTCAAATATAGGAGTCTTCCCTGGAGCTGGTGTAGGTTATCTTTAAAATTAATGGAAACACATTATTAATTTAATTCTTTTAAATTTTATAGACATAAATATATTTTCTTGATCTTATGCAACGTGCTTTCATATATATCTTTCCTCAAAAAGTAATGTTTCAATAGATTTATTCTAGAACATTTACTCTTGCACAAATGACTTTTTTATTATCAAATAGCAGCTTATATGTCATAAATAGTGTTTGTACTGGGTAATGACAAGTGCAGGTTAAATGCGTGACCTCTTTCTGTTTTTCTTTTCTCTTTTTCAGTAGCTGTTGTACTTGGTGGCACTGAATTCAGACATGAAGATCCTTTACCTTTTCTTTGCTATTTTCCTCTTAATGCTCCAAGGCACTTTAGGTAAGAGTTGCATAAAACCAAAGGAAATGGAGGAGGAAGCACACATGAAGTATGGAGTACCTAAAACAGAAATAGAATGTGTTTTAGTCCCTTTTGCCCAAGGCCAAAGGGGCTTTAGCAATGGACAGACACCACTTGGGTCCATTGGATGCCCTAAGCCCTCCTGCTTTGTAAAATAAGGAAATTTAATGGTACAGATGTGGCAAGCCTGCAAGCAGGCTAGAATATTGCTGTCATAACTTGTTCTTAGTCTTCTTGGGGAAGGAAAATCAAGACTCTGTTCTGGGGTTTTTGTGCAGGTTTCATGCGAGCACCTAATAATGATGTGCAATGCAAGCAGGCTGGGGGTACCTGTTCCACCAACCTCTGTTCCCTACTCAACATGAGGCCTTTTGGACGTTGCCAGCAAGGGGTCCCTTGCTGTAGGGCTGTGGTGAGTTATGGATTTGATGAATATCAGGTATTTCTTGGGAGAATGGGTTTATTATTCCCTTTCACACGTTCGACTGCCCTTTAGACACAAAACTCTTCTAGTGCAAGCCAACAAGGCAGCAGAGACCCTGTACACTCAGATATAGGATTTCCTCAGGATTTCCTCACTAGTTGCCTCTGTACTATAATGTACTCAAGTGCTTCATGGGAAAGACCACAGTCAAATCTCTTTGGCAGAGAGGTAATTAGCTAGAAATGAACTCCTTTTTTTCTGCTGTTCTCATTAGCTGGTTCAAACTACTCATGATGAATGATACTGGCTTTAAAGGACATGTCTCTAAATGTGCAGACCTGGTATGTTTAGGTCAGGCTCACCTGCGTGCTCCACACTGTAGAGTCTGCCAGGTCTCACAGTCAGAAGAACAACCAGAAGTGTCATGCTGTTCTGCTGGATGTTTTCTCCTGTTCTGTAGTTTTACCCTCTCTATACAAAACCAAAACATTAAATTGTATATATATATATATATTTTTTTTTTAAATTCCCTACTGGAATCCTAAATTTCAGGCTGCATCTTTACTCCAATATGAAACTGCATAAACAAACATCCATGAAAACTTACACTCTGTCTCCACTGATTCTAGTATTTAATTTTCTGTATCTTTTGGCTATAACATGGAGGCTCTTATTTAACTTTGTTCAATATGAATAGCAAAGTTGTTAAAGACTAAGTGTGTTCAATATGAATAGCAGAGTTGTTAAAGTGTGACCAGAAGAAATTCCCCTCCATACCAGAGATTTTGAGATAAGTAGGAAGCTTCGGGTACAGACACTGGGAAACTCATTATTAAGTTAAATAGTAAGGTATTTTATGATTAAAATGCAGCAGCAGCAGCAGCAGGAGTGTGAATATCCTAGTAAGCACTAACATGTTATCCAGGAATATCAGCTCTTGGTGCTGATTCAAACCTTTTTCTGGTTATAAGTACAAAACCTGAATGTTTCTTTCCTCTTTTGCAGTATGATTAGAGACTGTTGGCATCTCAGATGGGCCAAGCAGAGCTTCTGGCAGCTTGGGATGCACCATCCCATCAGGAAACCTGGAATTTTAAGCTGAAAATATGCATTTAGCACACACATGCACACACTGAAAGATGAGTAACAGCAGAAAGAAAACAAACTGCCCCACAAACAGACATGAAGAAATCAAAGCAATTCTTGAACCACCCAGGAAAAAAAAACAACAATATTTGTTATTTGTCTAAAATGTTTTTCTCTTGAAACTGAATTTCGGCCACCAATGCCTACCCCAGAGAGCAGATCACCAACATGCAGAAGTCTGACCCCATGAGCGGATTCAGAGTACGGTCTTCCTTTGCCCTCAGAACGCATACTTGTTATTTCCTTTTAAGTTAGCAATAATGCAAATGACACTGGAAGGCAAAGTCTGCAGGAGACATTGAACACTCAGCTGCAGTGTTAGTATGTCATGGCCTGTGTATCTCAAATCTTAGTAAACTTGCTTCAGAAGACTTTTGTTTGATCCTTACACGTGTGAGGAATTGTCTTTGGTGTGTGTTATTCCTGGAGGATCTGCCTCTCATCTCACCCGGGTCACTATGAGATGTGCCTTGTGGTAAACTTATCCAAGCAAAGGAGAAGAAACCAAACCCATGTATGGGCAGGAATATTCGCTATCCAGTTGACCAGTAACAGTCAAGAATAACTTCTCCATACCTGCTGTGATTAGGCTAGTAAAAAGCTGGGACAAGCTGAACATGTTCAGTACCTGTGGCAGTTTGTGGTATGGAGAACGTGTGTACTTTAGTCATTCCTTATCTCAGATCCCTTTGGCCTTTGCTTTAGCACTTTGAGATGTTATGGATGGGGAAAGGAAACAGGGGATGTGTCTGTCCGTACCTTGTAACAGGAGGTGCCAAGACTCCAGTGGGCTGGACACACAATTCACTGCCTCCGAACAGCATGGTGGAGTGATAAATAGTGTTTAGTTTAGTAACCAAATAATTTAGTAATAGTTTAGAATCCAGAGAAGTAAAAGTCCATTGGCATGGTGCTGATCTTGACTAAATAGAGGCAGCATGAGAAGAGCATTGTGAATGTGGGGAGGTGGTTTCAAGACCTAAAGGAGCTAGTCTTCTGCCACCCTCCGGTTTGTCTGTGTTGCCATTCCCAGCACTTCCTTATTGAGAGCATCACAAGTAGTGTGACCAGCAGGTTGAGGAGGGGATTCTTCCCTGCTCTGATGAGACCCCCCCCTGCAGTCCTGTGTCCAGCACTGGGGCCCCAGCACAAGAAGGATGTGGAGCTGTTGGAGGGAGTCCAGCAGAGGTCATGATGATGTTCCAAGGGCTGGAGCTGCTCTGCTCTGGAGACAGTCTGAGAGAGCTGGGTTTGTTCAGCCTGGAGAAGAGAAGGCTCCAGGGAGACCTTAGAGCAGCTTCCAGTGAATAAATGGGCCAACAAGAAAGCTGGAGAGGGGCTTTTGACAAGGGCCTGCAGGGACAGGACAAGGGGGAATGGCTTTAAACTGACAGAGGGGAGATTGAGATGAGCTCTTAGGCAGAAATTCTTCCCTGTGAGGGTGCTGAGGCTCTGGCACAGGGTGCCCAGAGAAGCTGTGGCTGCCCCGTCCCTGGCAGTGTTCAAGGCCAGGTTGGATGGGGCTTGGAGCACCCTGGTCTAGTGGAAGGTGTCCCTGCCCATGGCAGGGGGTTGGAAGTGGATGATCTCCGAGATCCCTTCCAGCCTTAAGCATTCTGTGACTCCATGATTCAGGTTGGGCTGGCAGATGCAGCCTTGGAGAGAAGCAGAGGGCTGAGCCTGCTTCCTAAACCCCAGCCTGGTGCCCTGGGATGGGATGACAGAGGAAATGAGCTCTAGTGCTTTTTGATTTATTAGTATATATGTTCTCGCACAAAACACTGCAACACAGACACTCTGCAGGATGATTTAACAGGGCTTAGGGACATGCACACTTGAATTAACTCAATTTAGTTAAATAAATTCCATTTACAGGTTGATTTTATAGACAACAAAGCCAGCAAAAGCTATCCTGACGTACATGAGCAAATACGAGCAATGTGGTTTCACAGTGATTTTGCTTTTATTAGAACTCAAGTTGCAAATCTCTTTATTGGGGTACAAAACCTCCTCAGACCTTCTTTAGCTCATAAGGGTCTTTGCCTTTGTGTGAAAGGCTCCCCAAGATTGCACTGAGACTGGGATCCACTGGTGTCAAAGGAAGAGAGGTGTCTTGGATGCCCAGATATTTATGTGGTCAATGAGGTGTCAGCTCTAGGAACTGGGTGTCCTGCAAAGAAACCCAATTAGATTAAACAGAAATGCAAATAACTAAAGCAAAACGAAAGCAAAACAAAAGAATGAAATGGTACCAACTGCAGAGCTGGACCATGGCGTATTACAGCATCACTCTGCATGGTGTATCTCCTATAAATGCAGATGCTTTCTTGCTTGTACCGATGAAAATATGACAGAGGGTTTCCACCTGTAGGGTGGAAATGTCTTATGGCACTTTGTACCAAGTAATGCAGATGGAGAACTGCATGGCTGCTATGAGTCCTCACTTACTTAATGGTTATCCTGTGCTGTTAAGCTTTATTTCTGTAGTGCAAAGCGCCATGCTGCTGCCTGTGTGGGTTGAAGGGGACTCCTCAGAGCTGTCTCAAGTCAGTTGTGTACACCCTGAATAGTAGGGGCAGAGCTGATAAAAGAGCCCTGGTGCAGACTCATGTTGGAAGAAGTTATTAGTGATGTTATTAGCAATATTAGATGCTATTAGTGATGAGGAGATTCAAAGGCCATAAGCGGGAGTGTGAACTCAAACCTGCTTTGTTTTCTGGCTTTTTGTTACCAGGCACAAACCCCAACAATTTATGGGGCTTATTTGAGAGCATAGGGGGCTGAAGAAAGTGGCCTATTTCATGCCAAAAGGGGGAAAAGCCCAGTAAGCCTGTCTGCTCCTGGTTCAGCAGCATTTCTCTGGAGGAGTTTGTCTTACCATTTGCAGCATTTCAGCTTCCCACTGCGGCAGGTCCCAATGTTAACCATAGGAGGAGAGCATTCAACAAACGAGCAGGAGCCCCGGTTTTGCCGGCATGCTGCAGTGTCAGCATCTACCTGGCTGTAAGCTGCCAAAAGAACCCCAAGGGAAAATTCATGTTCATTTGTCAAGGTAGAGGACTGGAGACTTGCAGCATCAGATTTACCTGGCATGGTATGTGGTTTCCTGCCACAGTGCCTGGTTTGTTGTTGAGGTAACCTAATCACACCTTCTTAAGGTCTTTACACCCATATAAAATGCAAACTAACCAGAAGAGCAAGCTGTAATGTTAGAATCTCTCCATTAAGAAAGTCCATTGAAAGTCTCCAACAAAAGAGACAGTCTCCCTGATTAATATTGACCCAAAGATTACTGTCTGCTTCATTAGCATCCCTTCTAGACACATGTGCTTGTCATCCCAGTTACACACAGAAATACTAGGTTATATGAAAAACCCACAAGAAGCACAGAAAAATGCATGTGTAACATTAATCCCACATTACTTTCAGAAACAGAAGTGATGATATTCAAATACAAATGTCCTAAACTGAGTTTCTGCAAAATTTCAGTTCAAGTTTCAGCAAATGTAAAGCATATTTATGACTCATAATCTTTATCTCCTACTTTGAATATCTTCCTCTGAGGAAGAAATGAGCATTAAGTGTGAGTGGCATGCTCAGAAGAAACCTGTGCACTGTATTACCATGTAAAACGTGGTATGGCTAACACTTCAGAGCAGATAAAACTTCAGAAAAGACAAATCTTAATCACAGCTGCAACAAAGGGACTAACATTTGCTCAATTGAAATGTTTAATACACTTAAAAACACACCATTAAATAAAGTCAGTGGCTGTTGTCACTAATACTCTATATGATTTTGTGAGATGCTATGCTGTTTTTGTCATGCTGGTATGTTTCAACTGAAGAGCCAAATGTTCAGATGGGGGTAAATGCTGTAGCTCCATCATTATCAGGGGATCTGGCCAGGTTTACTCCAGCTGAGAAGCTGGCCCCAAGTTCAGGTTTGAGTATTTCCAAACTAAATATTACTTGTTCCCACTGGGATGTCCAGCTTGAGATTCAAATTGTGTCATTTTTGTATGTTTTAAATGAATCTCTTGCATCAGTTAGAGCCCTGTACATCTGTGCACTAAAAAGGCGAAAGAGGCTTTTATCATTTGCCCCAGCTTCTTGTTAAGCACAAACCTGATCATCTCATCCAGTACTTTCTGTGCCTAGATCAATCCACACCTGTCAACAAACTGGATTTTATCCTTCATTTGAAAGGCATGTGGGCTTTATTCTGAATAAGACTTGCCACATTTCAACCAATTTGACCTAGTGGTTTTCAAACCTTTTCTCTTAATCACACACTATTCAAGGATTATGTGCTGTTGGTTTCACTGAACTGATTTTAAAGGCATCGTTAGACCTTGGTTTCCCTTGTCTCCTGAATTAAAAATCCCTGTAGTGCCATGGGTCTTTTCTGTGTGTAAATCTTCATGAAGAGATATAAAACAACCTGTTGCCCTTTTCGAGAGACTCCTGGAATTGCACCTGCCTTGCAGCCATCTCAGAGGTGACAGACTGTTTTGAAATAAAAAATACTTTTTGTGATGCATACAATAGGAAAAATCAAAGAAAGCAATCCAGAAGCACATATTACAGGCTTTGTCCAAAGCACCTACAACTGCTTTTGGCCTTAGTGGTTCTACATTTCTTTGAGTAGACAGACATGTGCAGGTCCAGGAAAGTAGGTACTAATTTGTGTCTACTGCAAACCAAAGCAAGGATGGAGACAGTTTAAACTGCTCTGAAGTCTCCCAAACAGCCTGGAATGATGCATATGCTCTAAACCCAGTTAATGGACATGAACAGTACAGAGTTCAGGGAAAGATCCACAGTCACAGCTATGTTTTTCCAAAACTATAGGATGTCTACTTATCTAGGATACACAGGAGGTGCGAGTGAGAATGTGAGAAGAGAAAGCTCTCACATTGCAGGGTTGACTCTTAAGTATCAGCCTAAGAATTGCCTCAGTGGAATCATCATAGAATAGTAGAACTGTTTACGTTGGAAAAGACCTTTAAGATCATCAAGTCCAACCATTAACCTAACACTGCCAAGCCCACTACTAAAACCATGTCCCTAAGTGCCACACCTATGCATCTGTTAAATACTGCCAGGGATGGTGACTCCACCACCTCCCTGGGCAGCCTGTTCCAATGCTTGAAAACCCTTTCAATGATGAAAGTGTTCCTAACATCCAATCCAAACCTCCCCTGGCACAACTTGAGGCTGTTTCCTCTTGTCCTATTGCTTGTTATGTGTGAAAAGAGACTAGTCCCCACCACACTACAACTTCCTTTCAGCTAGTTATAGAGAGAGATAAGGGCCCCCTCTCCGCAGCCCCCCACCCCGATCCTTCTCTTCTCCAGACTAAACAACCCCTGTTCCTTCAGTCACTCTTCACAAGACTTGTCCTGCAGACCCTTCACCAGCTGCTCCATAGCATCCACTGGCACCAAGGTCAATACACAGGAGCATCTCTTGTTCTGTCATGTCATTGTATGACTGGAACGCAAGATGCTAGAAAGAAACCATCAGGAAGACTATCAAGGCGTTTGGCTACATAGTTTAAAGATTAGGACTATGACTAGGGAAGGGGACTTCTAATATGAAAGCCATGGAAGCCAAGAACACAGGTGTTCTGAACCTCAGCACTAGGCCCTAATGAAGCTTTCTCTACATGCACACTTTTACTTTCCATCTCATCTATTTTCAGTCTTACCTGGAGCAGCTTGGAAGAGGAAGAAGAGAGCAGCAACGAGGAAGAAAAGGATTCTCATGATGCCAGATGGTAGTAGGATAGTCTTTGCAGCTTTGAAGATGCTCAACAATGGACAGAAGCTGGTGTCTGGGGCAGAACACAGTTAGTCTCTCTACTTATAAAGGCTTTGGGATGGAGTAGTCCAGAAAACTAGGGGGTGGAGGACTGGCTGTCTGAGGAACAGTGAGTTCATTGCCCTGTTGCTATAGAGACTGATGATGTATGACGATGTTGCAACCTAACACATTTGAAGACGCTTGACTTGAGCAATGGCCAAATCAAATGACCAAATGCTAGCCGATCTGAGCAGCCAGATTACTCAGTGCTTGCCTGCCCTGTGCCAGCTGGTGGGCTGCACCCAGGGAGGACACAGGATTGGAGGAGGAGGGAGGTGGGTTCCTGTGATGCACAATACTGTAAACCTTGTGAATCTGCTGATGTCCAGTGGCTTTTGGCCATGGAATTATGACAGCCTGTGCTCCCCTCAGCCACCAGGCATGGTGAGCATGGCAAAGGCAGGAAAGCAGGCCTGCAGGGCTGCATGAAACAAGGAGGCAACAGACCCTCCTCCTTGAATGCAGGAAGGGATCATAGTGTTAGTCCTTGCTTGGACTGGAATTGTAGGGCTGTAACTGAGGAAGGCAGGGTAGGGATGAAAAGGTTGTGGATGTTGGCCCCTATGGCTATGAAATTGGGCAGATATGGTAGTAGCTCCAGTTTCCCAGATGTTCTTCTAGCATGGGTTAGGGCCCAGTTACCCTCTGCATCTTATACTTGTGACTTTAGCTATGGATTTGTACCAAACCTTGAAGAAGAAGTCATTAGAAAGGACTGGGAGGGACACCACTGTGTGTTGTGCATAGCAAACTGCACCCCAATTCCCTTTCAGAAATCAGCTAAGCTCTGTCCTGAGAAAGGGGAGATCATGGTGCTTCCTACACCGTACTCTGGTGGTTTGAAATTACTTCCAAAGTCTAACCTTTGCAGAGAGTCTAAACCTACTTTTCTTTGCCCCAAATAACTGGTTTAATACCTTTTTCCCTTGCTGCTAGTCACCTTCCTGATGTGGTAATGAAGAGAGTCATGCCTCTCTTTCTAATTTCATAGATTCAACATACCAAGTCTACTTGCATGTGATGCCTCCACATCTCTCATCACCTTGTAACCTTCCTTTGTATCTGTAAATAAATACAAGCTGATTGCTTTTCATGCATGTAAAGGAGCAGCAGTGTATAACATGGACCAGAGGAAGTGTCATCAGAGCTTTGTACAGCACTCTTACTGCTTGTCCCTGTTTCCAAGAATGCCACTCCTGAGACATATGAGAAACGCAAGAGCAGGTTTCTTTCAGACACAGTATAATCCAGGAATCATTAATGAAATCCAGTCATAAGGGTGCTTAATTTTTTACTGATTCAGTGAGAGCAGCAAACTGGAGCGACGGAGAATAACAGCAAGAGGTGAGTTATGTCTGGAAGCAGAGGTCAGAGATGTCTGCATCTGGTGAACTGGCTGCTATAAACTGGGTGTAAGGCACGAAGTGGGTGCTCCAATTTGTGCAAAACCCACATGAGTTTTCTATGTCAGGACCAGGACTGAGAAACAAGTGAAAATCCTCTTTACACTGGAGGGCAGATGAAGAGGTTGAGGAGCGGCTCATGAACATCTTTTCCTCCTCACCAGGTTGTGCTACTATGTACAGCTGGCAGGACATGTAGGACTGGAAGCATTGCCATGGGCATCCTGAGATCCAAGGGAAGGAGAGGAAGCTTCACATCTGACTCTCTCATGTGATGGGCCCAACATTCAGAAGATGCTTGGGATTATCAAGCCCGTATCTCCCTCTTTTTGCACCTCCCAGACTGCCAGTCGTGGAAAATGTTCTGATTGTAAATCATGGCCAAGCATAAGGAAGCCCTCAAGGCTGAAGTCTGTTTGCAAAAAAAACAACAGGACTTAATGGAGAAGGGGAATGTGCATGTCTGTTCCTTGCATAATTCTGTCCCAGGTGGCACAAGGGGCAGGGGTGTTTGTTTTGGGGGTGAGGCTGATGGGCTTTGCTCAAACCCTGCCAGGCTTGGTCCATGCCATCACACATTGTCCAATGCTCTTTGGAACCAAACAAATTGGAAAGAAGGAAGGAAAGGGTGAGCAGCTCCATTCTCCTCACTTTCCTCCTCCAGAGCTATTTGGAGATTGGCAGCAATGCTTGTCCTGCACCCAGGCTCCCTCCATGGAAATTTAAACACACCTAGGGTGATAACAGGCCCCATGAAGACTGCTTGGCACTGGGGAAACGAAGCCTGGGCAAGGTGCCCCACTTCTTCCTTCTCCTTGAGGACAAGGAGAAGATCTTGGCAAGAGTCATCAGCATGCTGAGAAAGCAGTGTATCTGTTACTGATGGGAAGTTATCTCTTGAGGTGTCAGAGTTAATATTTGACCTGATAGAAAAAGTGTGGGTGGGGAGTTTGTATGGGACCTGTCCTTGTGAAGAAATGGCCATTCGTCACCCTGAACAAGTAAACAAATTGCTTTGCTTTACTGTTACTTCAGAAGGCTTGTTGGTTTGTTCTTTGCATTTGCAGCTTGGGAAATGGCCACTTGTGGTCTCTTTTCTGGGATGCAGGGCATGGAGTGCAAATGTCTTTGGGCCTGAAGGAGAGTCCCTGCTTTTAATGACAACAGATGGGCAACTGATATGCCAGTGCAGAAGCGGAGAATTAACTTAGTGAAAATCTCCTGTGGTGTAGGAGTAAATAAACAGGTGGCAGCAAGCAGTGGTTTGAGCTCCCCTGCCCCAAATGTAAGTGCAAGGAAAATATGATGGTGAGAGGTACAGATGTTTACAGACAGTGATGGTGACGGTGGGTGGAAGGTACATGAAGTTCCTTCCTCTTGGTGGAGCACTTGATAAAGGCTGCTCATGCATAACACTAGGTTTCAGTGGGGGTTTCCACTAGGTTTCCAGTCCTAGTGACTGAAGTACTTGTCCAAGATCAACCATGGGATCATCTCCAATCTGAATCCCTGCCATGGAAGATAGCTGTGAGGGGAAGAACACACTGATCAGGAAAGTTTTGAGAAGTCTGAAATCCTATCACCATTCTGAAAACTGATCCATTCTACAGGTGATCAAGGAGGAGGTTTTCTGAGGTCCTGCATTAGCTTTGGGAGGTGAACATCAATCAAAAGAGCCCTTCTCCTGTAGCTTGAGCTACACTATCAAAGAATTAGCTGCCTTCCTGCCAGCCCTCCAAGAGAAAAAAGCAATGGTATGCTAGGAGAAAAGTCCTCAATAGACATGGGATGAGGAACTTCTTGGGAAGAACTCTCAGTCATCACTGCATGAGAGAGACAGGCCATGGGACTAGTCATTGTAGGGCTGTTTTCACAGGAGAGCTGTGTGAGCCAGCCAGCATGAGGCCAACCCCCGGCAGGCGATATGGGGAGTGCAGAGGTGAAGTAGAGACCCAAGGGGCTTCCTAGAAATTGGAAAAATGGGAAATGAGCCTGAAGTTACCCATGTACGGCAGTGAGGATGACTGCTGGTGTGAAAAAAAAGACCTTGATAGACATGAGTTACAGCGCCTAGTGACAGAAGTGAAGACAACTCTGTTTGGAGAAACACCTCTATGACTTAGACACTAGAGATATGGTTTTTTAGGACAGGAGGGAAATCTGAGGCTCAATCTGTCCCAAATTTATCCATATCTAATACCAGAGGTTATTTTCAGGAGAAACTTCAGGGATGGAGAACAGGTCATCCATGTCTGTAGTAGGAAGTAGAACATGAGCAGGAGATGGACTGTGTTAGTGTATTAGTGTGTTGTTTAAATATTATCAGGATCTTTGGTATAGCTTAGAATTGAGTCAGCTAGGCAACTCTGAAGAAATCTTGGGCATAGTTCAGGGGTTAGTATAGATCAGGAACTGTTCTTGGTACACATCTTGGACGCAATCTTATTTTGGAGGCCAAGGTCTTCCATTTCACCAGAAAACTGTGCCTGGACTTTTTAGTTGCTGATATAAATGTAAGATTACTCCAGCCAGGGAGATTACTGGAGGCATTTCAAACATGGGTTACTGTTATATCCTCAGGCCTTTTCTTGTCTAAGAAGCCACAGAAGTAGGTGAAATATGTGGTCCTTTGGTGTCATTTAACACTTACAGCATACAGTCCCATTGTAAATGTTGATTCAGAAGAAAGTGATTTAGCCTCATTTGACAGATTCAAAGCTACAAAAGTCAAGATTTTTTTTTTTTTTTTCACAAATACAGCTTATAGAAACCTTGTGCAGGGTATTTCCAAAATAACACCAAACATTTGTACATATTATCCTCTTCAGACTAACAAGACAAGAGTATTGTCAAGCTTTTACTGGATAAGTTAATACAAGAAGGAAATAAAACATTGCAGAACCTCTGTGTTAATTTGACCTATTCAGTTTCTGCATTTTCCTTGTGGTTTTGATCTGGGTTCTTTTTAGACCCTTTCTTTAGATAATAAAAACAGACCACAGTTGTGAGGAAGGAACATCTCTCTTTTTGGTTTGATGAAGTTCCAAAATCTGAGACATAGGAATCAATTGAATTGCTTAAAATTAGGCCTCAGTGCCATGGGGAAAGTCCTGGGAATTTTTTCTGATACACCTGGATGAAGTCAGCCCTGTGTTGCCCTAACAGCTTTTCAATATGAATGTAGGAAACTGACTCAAAACCATGGACTCTTCTCTCCATGACTAATTGTGACAGGAGAACCTAAACTGATTGTGCATCTGTAACTACTGGAGGAAACAATGAAAAACAACTTGGGTTTGCATTTTTAGCACCATAGAGCTCAGGGTTATATCTGTACAACTGAATAAAACAGGAGATTTCATTCACTGTTATGACTGCTATACAGATATAGAAATAGAAATAAATAGAAACAGAAATAGAAATAGAAATAGAAATAGAAATAGGTGTAGATATAGGTACAGGTATAGGTATAAGTATAGGTATAGGTACAGGTATAGGTATAGGTATAGATATAGACATGTAGATATATAGATACAGAGAGATAGAGATAGATAGAGAGATAGAGATATGTATGTGTACACTTGACTTCATAAATACAGTGTT